TAAATTTACTAAAGAATATTTTAGTAGTGTATCTTGTCCTGACTAAGCAAGGACCACAACAACAAACGTGAAGGTAAATTCTGCATTTCTAAGTTAAAATTATAAAAAGCAAAATCACCAACCACTTCTGGAACATAAATCAAACTGTTAACAGCTACAACAGTTTTCATGGGTGAATGCTTCTAAGCATGATAAATTATCATATTCATTTCATGAAGAAAAATACTGGTCTTTCCTCTACATAGTAAATTTCTTAATGATGACATTTAAAAGAATTCTATTCTCTGAATTTAAATATTTCTGAGTACACCACAAACTATCCAGGAACAGAGATGCGCCTGTTGCCAAGGAGCTGCTTAGCTAAGTTTTTCTTAAAATTTAATAATGAACTATAGAAAAGGGAGGTAATTAGGAAATGCGATTTAGCTATCATTAATCTACATCAAAGGATTATAATGATGTACATTGTGTGCCTTTCAAATTATCCTCTATTATAGGTTTCACAACAGAAGTTGAGAAATCTCTTTGACAAACTTGTCCCTTATTAAAAATCAAAGGAAAGTACTTTGCTACCATCTGTGCAACATTAACGCCTTCACTGAAGAATGATTATTTTGTAAGTTAAGAAGTATTCAGTACTATCTAAAAAAAAGGCAACACAGCTATTCAAATGCTCATCTTCATCTATTATAAAAAAGTCACAGCATATATGAAACACTATGTAATTCACCACAGAAAGACCAGCATCTCTCCTGAAACCAGAAAACAGAAAAGAGAATTGTGATCTTTGAAAGCATAATCAAAATACTTTTTAAATGTCACCAACACCAGCATATTTCACAGAACCTGACCAGCACCTGTAAGGTCTGATTTAATATGATGAGGGGCAAGAGAAAATAAAAAATTTTAAATTTGATTCCATTAGTATAAAGCAGAGTATGTTATAAAGAATAAAGTAAAATTATCCATAAATCGTTGTCAGAAAAATTTATGACAATCTTTTCTCTTTAAAGTACACTGAACCAAGGAAAATCTGTTCAAGTATTTAGAAGCTCGATGTAGAAAGTATGACTATAAATCTGGCTTCTTTATCTCCAGTATTTACAATATACTACGTCCATGACTTGATTAAGTTCTTCCTAATTACCCACCTTAATTACAGTAATTATACATTTTAGAGTAAATGCAAGTAACAAGGTTCATTTGGAAGATAAATTGTGCACTACAGGTTTAAAAAAAAAATAGAGAAAATGTGGAAGATAGCCAACCATTCCACTTAATTCATCATCTTCAACACCTGACCATCTAACCATGTGATTGTGGAGCAAGACCTTGGGAATCATTAAATCTTATGCCTTTATTTTATAATGAGATCATTTTCCAATTTCCTCATTATAAAAAGGATCAACTATTATTTGTCTCAACTATAGTTCCTTCTACCTACTCACCTCACTCACCTTATACTACTTTAGTTTTAGAAGTACTTGCTATATAAACATAAAGGTACTACATAAAATATATTAAATAAACTACAAAGAAACACAGGAAAATACTCTAAAAAAAAAACCTGAAATGCTCTTCAAAGCTAGTTTGTTTTAGGGGACATAGGGAGGAAAAGTTGAAGACAATGCAACTTACATTATAATAAATAGAAAAAATTCCACAAATGGTAATTACAAATCTGGACAGAAATTTATATTTCAGAATTTTTATTTCAGATAAAATTTCTATTTATCATCTTTCATAAAACTAGAAAGGGTGTCACTATTGTAAAATGAACTGTTGAAACAAAAAATCTGAAGATTTGTTTTACAATTGTTTTAATTGCTTTAATTAGGTTTAGTCTCTGGGATATGAATTAAATCCTAGCAATTCAATTTTTCTCCAATTCAATTAAACAAACATAATGAATACCTATCTCTACTTTTAACAAATGTGACATGTTAAATGATAAAACAAAAAGAAACTTACAATACGACTGCCCTGCTTAACCTAGGTCCTCAATTTCCTCATCTACAGAATAAAGAGATTAAAGATGACCTTCCAGTTTCTAAAAGTCTGATTATATTTTATCTGAACTGTGAAATTTCAATTTATCTTAAAATAAGTAATGTTAAAGCCAGAACTGCTGAAGTCTGGTAAGGACTAAAGTAATTATTACTCATTATAATAAGGAAAACGAACACAAAATGGCCTTCAGAAAATTAATCACCACAATTCTCTCCCCAAACTCCATCTCTACTCTTAGATGAAAAAGACAGCATTCTAAAAGGCCTCAGGTCTCACACAAAAAAACTTGCTCTAAACTCAATAATTTTCCTAAATCTTTTTAATGTAGAAATATTAAGGCATTTTATAATCACGAACCACAAAATATGAAAACCATACTGATGATTCAAACATCACTAATCACAGTAAAATTTCTTGATAAGTCATCTATCTTCTTTGCATCCCATGGTACCTACCTAGCACCTCAGTATGCCACAACTAACTATGCATTAAGGGTTACTCTCCTCCTCTTTCATCACCATTAAAAAATGTAACGTATCTTGTTATGGGTTAAGCCGTGGCACTCCTACAATTCATATATTGAATGAAGTCTGACACCCAGGATGTGACCTTATTTGGAAACAGAATCATTACAGATGTAATTAGTAAAAACAAGTAGGATGGGACTCTAATGCAATATGCCAAAGCAATAAGACCGGTATCCTTATAAAAAGGGAAAATTTGACACAAACACACCTACAGGGAGAATAGCACGTGAACATGAAGACCACCATCTATAAGTCAAGGAGAGAGACCTGAAATAGATCCTTCCCTCACAGACCCTTTAGGAACCAACTTTAGCATCACCTTGATTTAGGACTTCTCACCTCCAGAACAGGGAGACAATAAATTTGTAATTTAAGACACCAGTTTGTGGTACATATTTTGTTACAGGAGCCTAGCAAGCTAATATGTTACAATACAGCAACTGGAGAATCAAATCAAAACATCATAAAAGACACAAATCTCAGAGTCGCACCCCAAATTTCAGTGCATGGACAACCAACATTCCTAATATATCATACATCTTTAACCCATTTCCCATTTTTTCAAAAAGTGCAGCTCGCTGCCAGCATTAATTCAATTTTACATAAACCCGCTCTTTGAGGCTGAAGCAAATCTGATTGGTTTTCAATGTGAAATTAAATATAAAAACTGTTCTTGGAGTTATTTCTAAACAGAACTTGTCTCTAATCTTAATGTAACAGAAATGTATATATAAATCAGATTCATCAAATGAATCTCCAGCTAACAACTGTTTGAGAACAATGTTAACATCACACGTAGGAATGCTACATTTTCTAGAATTTGATAAAATTACTGTATTTTGTAAATGGAATACCACTATTAAAAACAGAATGCTATAAATAAAGTGATGTCATTTGCTTCCAAAGACTATCGACATACTAGAGCGATGAAAAGGTAATAATAAAAGCGAGATATTTCATGGCAAACTTTGGGGGTAAGGTTAGAACTGTAAACCGTGAGTTATCTCGGGGTAAACGCCGCAGCCAAAAGTGCCGCCAGCGAGAATTCTCGGGGCAAATGGGAAATGGGTTAAGAATCTGATGAAAGCCACTTTCACATGGACATGAACATGTTTTATATTGTACTTAATTCAAGATGCTCATAACCCTCCCCCTCCACCCCCAACATTGCCAAAGATGAACTCTTGATTAACAACTCCTGCTTTAATCAAAGGCATCTGGGGGGAGGGAGGTGGGAGAAGGGAGGAGAGGAGCCAAATCATACACTAATCTAATTAGAAAATAAACACTATCAGCACTGTCTCTGAATAAGGAAAACACAGATGAACTAATCATAAAACTTTTCCTCATTGTGCTCTAAAGAGATTTACAACAAAATATTATATTTTTCAAAACAGTAACACTTTTTTAAATGTGTATGTTGTATAATAATTACATCTAAAAGTAAAATTTTATCACTATAGCACATTTTATAATAAAAGAATGGAGTCTAGTATCATAATCCAATAACAAGATGAAGAAAATTTTCATAGGTAACTATGATTTAAATCCTTAAAATATGGACCTGGTCGATAAGAATTGAAGTGTTTGCCTTGCTTCTTTATTTTGTCTAATCATTTCACCTTTAATAGTTGACAATGACACAACATGTTGGAAAACTAAGTGTTGGAAAACTAAGATCAAAAAGTTTAAAAACAGAAATTCAACCATTTTATATCAGCATTATCAATCATCATTACATCTTGCCAGTTAAGAAAAGGTTCTCCTATAAAGAAATACAAGCTAAAATGACGTGATTTGGTCAATAAAAAGGCAACTCCAATATCTAATTAAGAAGATTCAAAACACTTTCTTTCTACAGCTAATTAGTTCTCAGCAGAAAGCAGAAGGGGAAATTACATAGTTAATACACAGAGTCCAAGAACAATTTGAAAAACATTAACCCCATTTAAATAGAAAAAATGAATATTAGATTTTTGCTCTTTCAAAATGTGTTCATCTAATTAATTCAGTGTAGAAAAGTGATCCATGGAAGAAAGTTGTATTCTTTCTTGTAAATGTATATTTAAGTGAGTTTATCACTAATATTAAAGACAAAATTACTATTCTGTATATATCATATGGAAATTATCATAACTAAAAAGCAGGCAGTGAAGGTGGTGAAAAGTGTCTGGATTGACAATCAGAAGAAATGGGCTCTATTTCTCCTGCTTCTGGTACTAACTACAAGTGTGAATTTAGGCAACACCATTTAACCTCTCTGGACCTTGGTTTCTCATTTATAAAAAAAAAAAAATGGGATCAGACTTAATGATCTCCAAGTTATCTGTCACTCAAAATGATTCTATAAATCTTAAAATCTAAAATACGCCATTCAAAATTCCTGATAGATTTTTTTACATACTTTGTGATCAATATGAATTCCTCAGTTATTTAACTAAGAGAAACAGTGATATTTCTTACCTGAAAGCTCATTCTCACGTAGCAAATTTTGAAGCTTGCTACAAAGCTGGATCATGCTGTCCAATTGTCTATTTATTTTCACATCTTGTATCCAGGCTGGAGTATAACACACTGGACATCCAGTTCCAATGCAGTCACTTACACAGTTACTTTAAAAGGATCAAAAATACATAATTATCAACACATTCAACAGAATCTGAATTCCAAAAAATAAACATAAACAGAGTTAAAACAGAAGTAAATGAGGAAAAGGTTTTCTGACAAACAGTAGGTAATTATAAAATATTTGTTAAAACAATGTTTTATAAAAGAGTTTTTTACACACAGAATCTAAATCTAAAGTTGCTTAGGTAATTTGCATCAAAGAGACTTAACTTGGCCAGACATGAGTCTGCAAATAAATCTATAGCTTCTAAAGCAAGAGTACGGAGGGAGACATAAACCAACATATTTAGTACCTAATGCATAGCAGATATGCATCTCAACCTTTCCTATACTAAACCTTAACACGGCTTCATAGGAAAACTTAGACTTACGGCAAAGAGACTGAAAAAATATTTTTGTTGTTTTTGGACAAGTGTCTAGAGGCTTTAAAGTAGTTTTTGAGAAAAGATCTTTGGTTCTTTCAGACACTTTTATAATCTGTAGATTCAATTAAATTATCTTGGGTTATTTGTCCAGGATTTACAGTCTTATAGTAAGAAGGGTTTTCTTATCTTTGGAGGTTGGGATTACAAATCCTTTGCAAAGCTGATAAAGACATACATGAGCTCTTGCAGAAAAGGGGGTTCAGAATCTCCCCTGAAATCTCTGTGTGAATTCCAAAATAAGAAACCTATAAATCTATTCCTTTCTTAGCCTCACTAGATGGGCTATATAGCAGGACTGGGTAAAGTAACAGTCGTAAAAGCCACGTCTGCCCTCAACACCCCATCTCTTTTCATGTGACGCACTCATTTGTAGGCACAGAGAATTCTTACAATATGAGCTCCCTTCAGAAGAAGTCTGTGGCACTTCTAATCTTTGTATCCTTAGATCCTAGCATGAGTCCTGAATCAAAGCAACTCAGTAAATGTAAAATGAATCTATAAACCATACTGGAGCTGGAAGCAGATCGCTAGATTCGATACATGTAAAATTTCTTTATTCAGAGAAAGGAACTTCTTTGAATTTGTTTGTTTATAGTTAACTTGGAACCCCAATATATAAGTACGTAAACTGATTCCTCAGGGGATTTAAATCAATGCTATGCAACACGTAATTATTTGAGAAACACTAGTGAAATGTAATAAAAATCCATTCGTCAAAAACGACTGCCTCATTTTCAGATGAAGAAAATGAGACCCAGTCAGTTTAAGACACTTACGCAGCACCATACCAGTACTCAGATCAGCCTACTTTATATATTCCATAATGTTTGTCTTATAATTGTTCACAAATTATTTTGTATACATTAATCCAGAATTCTGGGGAAATACATAATTCCCCAATACATCTGCATAACTCAGTGAGCCAATATTTCTCAAATGACTAATGCATGATGTCATAAAATCATGCTGGGTAAAATATCCATTCAAAGTACAGGATTAAATCAATGGAATTTAATGTAACAGAGTACAAAATGTTCATTGGCATGGTTTTAGATTTCACACTAACAAATTTAAGAAACTATCATTTGCCAAGAAGTGATATAGTATCAAAAAAGAATATCCATAATTATCTAAAATACTCTTCCTTTCTCCAACTACAGATATATGTAAGACCAGATTTTCTTCACGTACTTCAAACAATATATTACAACACACTGAATACATAGGCAGATATGAGAATTTAGACATCTATTCAGCAAGACAATAAAGTGATTTATAATAATATAAAACAGTGCCTTTCCTCTATTTCTTTGGTCTATAAAATAGTTACTTTTCCTAAAAAAAAAAAAAAAAAAGTGTTGTTTGTGTTAGTACGTAATGGGTTTATTATTGTTGTTTTTAACTGAATTAGCATTTTTTAAAAATGTCTTTTATATGGTAAATACACACACACACACGCACAGGCTCTATGGGGTTCTCAATTTTTAAAAGTATAAAGTGGTCTGAGACCAAAACTTTCGAATCTCCTTGTCATACGTCTTAAATGACTTATATCTTAAAGTGAGTATCTGGACTACTTTTATCTGGGATTAGCATGAAAGTATCTTGAAACTACACACAAGCAATGATATAAAAGCCTGTGCTCCTACAACCTCTCCCAACTTCTACATTTCAATTAGACTGGATATCAAAACCATCTATTAAAACTGTATTTACAGCACTGCTCAGCAGTTTTGCATAATTCCAAATCTGCAAAGAATACAAATAGCTACCTTAATTCTTAGCAGTTTATGATCAAAATGAACCAAAATTGCACTGAATCGATTCTTTCTTATGTTTATGTCATATACAGATGACCATTTTCTCTTTATAGATGTTCTCATGACTCTCTTAATCTTTCATTGGCTATTTTAAGTCCCAGGCCCCTTTAGAATCCAATTAAAGGTCTGGGTCTCGGTCTCTGCCTCTCTCTCTCACACACACTTTACATATAATTTCATGGCGTTTGTTCTGATCCGTCAGCACTCATCTGTTATAAACAATGAGTGCATCAGCTGAAATAAATGAAATCTGCTTGCTACAGAGGGGAATAGGGAATGGTATCATTTCGTAAGGGGATCATGGGAGGCCTTTTGGAGGAGGTGACATTTGAGCTGATATACAGCCTCAGAAAAATTCAGTAGAAATACATTCCAGAGGAAAGGAACAGCGAGTGCCAAGGCCCTGGGGCAGGAGTGAGTCTGACATGTGTCATGTACTGAAAGGAGAAGGTGGCTAGAACGGTGTGCGCCAGGGGAGCGTGGTCTGGCTGGGAGGCAAGAACTTGATCCTGTGCAGAGTCTGGTGGACCTCAGTGCAGAGTTTGGATTCTATTCTCATTATAATAAGAAGCCGCCAAAGGATTTTAAGGAAGGTAATGATATGAATGTGATTTACATTTGTAAGATCACTAACAAGAACGTAGAAAATGGGAAAGGGGACCAGTTATAAACTTATTACGATAGTCTGAGGAGAGATAATATGACAGTAGCTTGGACTAAAGTATAATGATTGTAAACACAGAGAAGAGTGGGAAAACTGAAGATTCAGGGCACATTTTGAGGTAGAAGTCACAGAACATAATGATGTGAGAAAAGGAAGAAAAGGGGAAGCAGGTATGACTTGTGGTCTCCGCCATGAGCCACACTGCAGTCGGTGGTACACTAATCGCTATGAAGATCACCGAGGCAGAAACAGGTTGAAAGGAATGATGATCAACAGATGTGCCCTGAACATACTAAGTCTGAAATTCCTTTTCATCGTCTGAATAGAGTTAACAGGTACGATTTCCTACCCCCACCCTCCTGCCAGATATGCCCTATATAACAGATCTATATTTCTAGGAACAAAATTGGGACCCCAAGCACAGCTGCCTCCCACACATCCCCTGCCCACTGAAGTCACACAGTAAATTATTTTCATAAGAACTTAAATTTCATATTGCAGTTTATTTAAGCCAGACAGTTTCATAGTCATAACTTGAAATAATTAAAGGATTAATTCAAAGGAGGCTATATTAACCCCGTCTCACAGACAATTAAACTAAGACATTCAGTCCTCAAATTGATTTGGCCGGAATAAGAAAGAGGATGATATGAAAATCTAATATTCTAATCTATAAGCTAGGGCATTCATATTATAACATGTATAATTTCATTATAACTGTTATGGCTTGAATCGTGTCCCCCCCAAAAAGATGTTGCAGTCTTAACCTCTAGTACCTGTGAATGTGATCTTATTTGAAAATAAAGTCTTTGCAGATAAGTTAAATGAGACCATCAGGGTGAGCCCTAATACAATACAACTGGTATTCTTATAAAAACGGGAAATTTGGACATAGAGGCAGACATGCACTCAAGGGAGAACACTATGTGAACATGAAGCTAGACCAGAGTGATGTATCTACAAGCCAAGGAATGTCAAAGATTGCCAGAAGCCGAAGATTCTCCACCGGAAGGTGGGAAAGAAGCATGAACAGATTCTCCTTCACAGCCCCCAGAAGGAACCAAACCTGCTGATGATATCTGGCTCTCAGACTTCTAGTCTCTAGAACTGAGACAATAAATTTCTATTGCTCTAAGCCACCCAGTTGTTGCTACTCGTTATCGCAGCCCTAGGAAACTAATGTAGTATGAACTAGACTTTCATAATTTGGACAATCTAGATTCAAAACTAACTGGGAAAAAAGACATATTTGAATTATTTAATAGATATTAAGTTTTTGCTCCAAGCTTAGGAAAACTATTTATTGAATAAGCTTTATAACTTTGGACAAGTCATCTTCTGAGCTTTGATTTTATATATAAATTAAGACTGTTATAAAGGTCAAAATGAGATAATGTATAGTAAGTTACTTTGCAGCCTGAGAGTTATACAAACATAAGGAAATCTTATCAATATGATTACATAACTGTTATTACTAAAAAAAAAAAAAACATAGTTAATAGGAACTATATATATGTAGTAACTATATATACATGATATATGTAATATATCATGTATATCAAGCCAAAACAACTTACCTACAGAAGATGTGCTCACATCCTCCTAAACACACAGGCTCCCTCAGAATATTAGCGCTGTTTGAAGAAAGGAAAACAATCAAGACTTAGTCACTGATAAACAATCTATACCCAACATTTCATAAATCCAAGGTCCAACACTACCATATTTCCCTTTCTCAAAGCAGAAGATATTAAGGATGTATTTGTCTTGGTTCAGCAACATATCTGCTGAACTCAAACAGCAACTACCAAACTCAGCACAAATTATAACATTTTTATAACATATATACTGAGAAGTCACGGAAAGGAACAGCTCTGTTCAAGCATCTCTGAACCCCTTACAACAGGCAAAATCAACCACTGGCTGCTTCTTTCAACTACTAAGATACATCTTCACCTAACAATCCAAAGTGTAGATCATAAATCTCAAAATTAGACCCACAAGTAGAATGACCATACAGTATACCATCCAAATGAGAGCATTTCTGAGAGCGAAGAGAAGTGATAACTGGATAGGATGCTGGGGCAGCAGGTCTAATCCAGGACTGTCCCAGGAAAATCAAACACTTGGTCACCTTGCCTATAAGGACTCAATGTTCCCATAAAAAAACACTGGTTCCTGGCTATTGTTAAGTAGCCATCTATTTTTCACAGATGCCTTGTCAAAAATACAGGCATTCTTTCATTTCACAGGAAGTCAACTGTTTTATTCCCAAGCAAGTATAAATAGAAATCAACAGGTTGGCAATCTGCAGACTGAAAGAGATTCATGGCGTTGGGGGAAGAGACAGAAACACAATTATTCTCAATGTTTTTCACCAAAATACCTGGTATGTTTGACAATCCTAAGAAAGTAATGGTCCTTACTAATTAAATATACATCAAGTCATTATATTTAGAAGGCATAATGTAGCAAGAGCAAACAGAAGTTTCTAAAGGATTAACATTTTTCTTGTGCTTGGTTTATTACACTAATCCTAGGACTTTTAGCTGTTTACAATATTATTATCCATATACCTCTGTACACATACCCCATATCAATAGTTTTCCACATTTCTTAAAAGATCAAAGGTATCACACTGCACATTTTAACAAATATGAACTTAGAGTAAAAATGAGCTTTTAAAAGAGTGTTAAAAACAGAGTATGACCCATGTTATTCTAAAGTTACTGAAATGGTGCTGACATTATAAAACCCATTAATTTTTTAAAATTCCCAATATCTGATTTCTCTATCATACCATGTAGGACACAGTGATAAAAATATGACTTGGGATTGCTAGTCATTTTTGTGATTCTGGCAATTAAGATGATCTGTTACAATGTTCATGCTGCTTCTGTAAGTTTTGTTCGTTGTTTGACCTACCAAAACTAATCTCTCCTCTCTCAATCATATTGAATTCCACTTCATTACGAGCTCTACCTCTGAGATCTCAAAAGTGGTATTACCTCACCTTCTCCTATCACAAAATCTTGTTTCTTTTATTGCATCACCTTGACCAAACCTCCTCCTTCCAGCTGCTCTCCACCATGAGAGAACTCCATGCAGTCCATTAGCTCCTTGATGCCCAGCCCAGCCCAGGCCACAGAGCTAACTACTTTGGAGCCATCTTTACCACCATCCTGCTTCCTCTGACTTCTCAGACACTCATAGATGCAAATCTATAATGCTAGACAGGCCCCGCAGTCCACTCCTTCCTCACCTGCTGTCAGGCTATTAATAACTATTATAAGAAGGCTTCGAAAGATATAAAAATATGTCTCTATAAATTTATTTGGTAGCTTTTTTAGCTTTGTACCTCTATCAAATTGATGTATTATATGTTCTGTGAGTAAACAAAGAAATGAATAGACAGCTGTTCAAAACAACCTCCATGTTCCTAAATCCCATTAAACTTACTGGAGCCAAATGGTGTGAGCTTTTCACCACTTAGGCTCATTCCTACCTCTTCACCCATAATCTTCCCCCTCCCTCCAGGTGCAGAGGAAAAGTTCTCCTTCAGTCAACCTGCTTCTTAAAATGTGCTTCTCTATTTGTCTCTAGATCTCACATCCTCTGTCTCCTAAAGTATTCTATTCTCATCATTATAGCTACCTTTTTCCATCTGCATCTAAACATGCACAGATAATCTCTTTCATTCAACCTAAAAAAATTCTTTAGATCATGCCTCCCACTCTACCTTCTGCCCCAGCTCTCCCCTTCCTTGCAGATATAAGTTCTTAAATAAGTACTCTATACCAGCTAAATACATCTCCTTACCTTGTTGGCTTTACCTTCCCACTGCCGAAACTGTTCTCCAAAGCATTTTTGGTCCTCATTCTCTCTGACCTCCCTGTCAAATAACACTGACATCACCTTCTTTCCTGAAACCTTTCCTTCCACCGTTTTTTTTGTTTTGTTTTGTTTTGTTTTAATCTACCTATTTCAGCATTTCCTAAGCTGCTTCTTTTCTTATCTATCAATGTAGCCTACCCCCAGGATGCAGTCCACAACAATTTGGCTTTCTCTGAAAATACTCAACTCAATGCCTTAATTCTTCTTTTTCCAAACTTACACTTCCTTCCTAAGATGACTCTGAACCCCTTATCTATAGTTTGTACCCTTTATCCTAGCAATAAGATGCTATAGCATATTTAGTAATAAACCTAATGTCTATGAATAATCGAGCAGTTGCACTAATTCTTCTAATTATTGAGCAAGAATATATTTTTTATTATTCCTAAGACATAAGACCTTGGAAGAGTGAATGGAAAGTATGTGCATGTGTGTGTATTGGGGGAAGGAGCAGGGAGAGGGAAGTGTCAACTTCAAAGGAAGAGCCTGAAGGAAACCAAAGTTTTGCCACCCCAAAATATGCCTCTTAGGGTATTGTTTTTAAGCTAGTTATTAAGAAACAAAAGACCCAGAAAGAACCTTTGACACTCCTCCTTACCTGCCTAAAGGAATTTAGATAGAAAAACCTGCTTCAGGAAGGGAACAATACTTTAGCATCATAATATAAACTAAAGATAACAGACAGACAAGGAGGAATGTAGCAACAAAGCCAGTTTGTAGAACCTTCTTCTGTGTCCCATCGTTTCTGGGTGGTCCAGCAAGAATTTGATTACATGTTTGCTCTCTCTCAGCTACCTGTAAATTGCCTACCTCCCCTTTGAAACCCCTGACCCTTTCTTTCTTCTCCTTTGTCCAAAATGGCAAATAAACCTCAACTGTCCAATGTGTCTTTTTGAGTCTCATGTCTCATGGCTCACTCACATGTACATCTGTAATAAATTTTGGACACTTTCTCTTGTTAATCTGTCTTATGTTAATTTGATTTATTAGCCCAGCTAGAAGAACTTAGAAGGTGGGGGGTGGGGGGATTTTTTACACCTGCAAAAGCTCAAAGGAGATACACTACACAAAGGGTGGCACTGATCTGTGTAAAAGCCAGGCTTTCTGAAAATGCCTAGAGCTTAGATGAGAAGATATACTGAAGTGAAAGAATTTTATTACAGTCGGGTAATATTTATCAAAATTGTAAATGCATCCAACTTTACCTCAACTATTCCACTGCCAGGAATTTATCCTGGAGATCCACTTGAATGCTTGCAAAACTGAAAATTCAAAATGCCAAAGGTATCTAAACAAGATACCAAAGCTTCCATCAATTAAGATATAGTAAGATTGTCATATATATTTTTAAAGAAATCAGAATAGCATAAGAATGTCAAGGGTAACAAGGGATGCCTGGCCATCAAAATAATAATTGAACATTTTATACTTTTAACTCTATATCCAGTCATTTTCAAAGTTAATATATAATAGGTAATAAGAAAACTCATCTTTCAGAGTGGAAAGTTAGGAAGCTAATAAATGATGTCTAAAATGGAAAAATATCAAGAACTAGCAATAAGAACATTATCTGGAAATGCAGAATGCTTGAACTAAAAAAGACGAAAGAGGTTGTGTCTAGAGTATAGAACTCAAGGGTGATACGGAATGAGGCAAAAGAATATTTTCATTATAGTCTGTCCTACTGACCTTACAACTGTGTTCATGTATAATTTTAATTAAAATGTTTTAAATGTAAAGGCACTTGGACAAGAATATTCACTCCAGCCTTGCTTATTACAGCAAAAGTCAGGGAACAATCTGAATTTCTACAAACAAGGAAATGGTTAAATAAGTCATGACACATCACCTAATGTACGATATCCTCTCATCTGAGGTATATAATACTTATATAGAGAATTCCTTAAAAGATACATAAGAAATAGTGAGTTCTTAAAGAAGGAGACTCAGACCTACTTGTCATTCATTAATGAATATTTAATGACTATATACCATATTCTTTTAATTTTTTGGCATGTGTATATTACTTTCAATTTTCTTAAAACTCAATACTAGAAAGTTCTTCACAATCTGGTAACTCACAAGCCAGACAACTGTAGGGGTACAAAAATAACTTTTCCCCCACCTAAGTTCTTCTAGCTGGGCAAATATTCAAATTAACATGAGACAGATAAATAGAGAAAATGCCCAATATTTATTAGGGATGTACACGTGGAGGCCGGATGAGACATGAGACCCAAAAAAGACACACTGGGCAGGAGAGGTTTATATGCCATTTTGGACAAAGGAGAAGGGGGCAAGAGTCTGGGATTTCAAAAGGAAAGTAGGCAATTTACAGGTAGCTGAGGAAGAGCAACCATGTGGTAAACAAATTCTTGCTGGGCCACCCAGAAACAATGGGACAAAGAAGTAAGTTCAACAAACAGGCTTTGCTAGACTTCTTCCTGTCTGCCATACTTAATTCATGTGCATTAAGGCAGCGGTCTCCAACCTTTTTGGTACCAGAGATCAGTGCTCTTATGAGACTCCAATGCCTGATGATCTGAGGTGGAGCTGAGGCGCTGATGCTAGTGCTGGGGAGCAGCTGCAAATACAGATGAAGCTTTGCTCCCTCACCCGCTGCTCACCTCCTGCTGTGCGGCCCGGTTCCTAACAGTTAGACCAGTATGGGTTGTGGCCCAGGACTGGGGACCCTGGACCCCTGTGCTGAGGTGAATATGCTATGGTTCCCTCCCTTAAG